TTTTGTATATGATTATGAGAAACCAAACAGTAGACAGATTTGAACAGAGAGAAGCTAAAAGAATATGCCAGCTGAGAGAATGAGAAGCTGTGCAAAGAAGTTTTCCCTTGTTAGGGAGTTTAGGAAGATAAAATTAGAGTTCTGAGCCGGCCTAGGAGGAAATTTAGTAAAAATCCCATACTTTCAGCTGGGATCTCTGAGGTGCTACATCCAAGAAGAGTAAGGGTTAGCTAGAAATTGATCAACCTTTACAAATTAATTCTATATCTTTTCATACACAATGCCCAGCATCCAATCAAAAGTTATCCAAGGTACCAGGAAATAAGATCACATACTTAAAAAGCCAAAAGAAAACGATATGAAAGCAGCAAACCTACAGAAGAACCACATAATTGGACATACAAGATACAGAAATTAACTATAATTGAGAGTTCAAGAAAAAGAATGGCAAGATGAAAATTTTGGCAGAGAATTAGAACTTGGAAAGAAATTAAAGAAATAAAAACTATTTCTATTTCCATAGAAATGGAAACTATTTTTTTAAAAAACAAATGAAAATTCAATAGCTAAAAATAGATAGTAACAAGTGAAAAGTTCACTAGACAGACTTAAAAATACACTACAGATGGCAGGGTGAAAAAGTCTCACTGAATTTGAAGACAGATTTAAAATTAAAATGCCTTAAAGTATTATTTACAATATCATTAAAAATGAATCAGAAGGCTCATTACTACTAAAGTATCAGTTCAGCACATATTGATCTATATATCCAATTTAATCCCAGTCAAAATCCCAGCAGGTTTTTTTGTAAAAATTGAGAAGCTGATCCCAAAATTTTTATGGAAGTGCAAGGGACCGAGGATAGCCAAACCAAAATGATTTTTATTTCAATACTTACTATGAGGTACATTAATCAACACAATGTGTTATTGGTATAAGGGTAGACCTATGAGCCAATGGAACAGATGAGAGTTCCAAAGTAGAACCACACAGATATGGCAACTTAATTTCCAACAAAGGTGCAAAAGTAATCCAATAAAAAGAGTAATTCTTTTTCAATAAAAGGCACTGGAATAATTAAACGTCCATATTAATCCATATGATACTATATCAATTGAATTCCCACATGAAAGAAAAGAATCATGACCCTTAACTTATACCATTCTAAAAGTTTATTTTCATATAGATTATAATGATAAAACAATAAAGCTTCTACATGATAACATAAAATAATCTCTTTTTGATTTTGAAGCAGGCAGAGTTTTTATTTAAAAAACAGAAAAATCTCTAACCATAAAGGAATAAAATGGTTAACTGGAATTTGTCAAAGTTACTTCTGAATATCAAAAATACCTAATCTAATGAAAGGGAAAAGATGTTTTTAAAAACTACAACTAACAAAGAACTCATTTCTAGAACATACTGAAGTCATCTGAGAAACAAAAATTAAAACTACAAAGGGATACCACTACATACATATGAATTAAAAACACTAACACCTGCTGATACCAATTTAGTAAGAATGTAGAGTGACTGGAATCTTTATACATTGCTGATGAGAGTATCAACTGGAAAATCCACTTTGGAAAACTGGTAATATCTATTAAAGCTAAACATATACCTTATGACCCAGCAATTTCATTCCTACATACATAAACCTAAGAGGAATGTCTACATCCACACACCAAAAGTAATACACAAATATGTACAAAGCTGCCATGACCATTAAGGTGAAAAACTGGAAAAATTCAAATGTCCATCAACTGTAGAATAGATAAATAATGATCTATTTATCAGTGAGATGAATGATTTCATTATTTTCATCTCATTATTACATAGTGAGATTTCATAAACATAATGTTGAACAACATAAGCCAGACTCAAGAGACAACACACTGTATGATTCTATATATACAAGGTTCAAAAAGAGTTAAAAAAATACTGTATATAATAACCAGGACAACAGTTATCTTTAAGGTAAGTGAGTAGTAACTGGTAAGTTACTGATAAGTACGGTTCTGGTAGGTTTCCATTCCTTGATCTGGGTGGAGGTTACATTAGTGTACTTTGCCATTGTATAGATGTAAGTATAGGGGGAAGCTGTAATATAATGGGTGACCATAAATAATCTTTATGTAGGACCCCTTCTGCTGGTTCTCTACAGTTCAACCCACATGCCACATTTCCTTTTACCATCCTCCCCTAATACTACTGATGTCCCATCTTCCACAAACAAGTTCTTTAGGTGATCAAATGCCCACATTATTTATCACTTCAAGTCTCTAACTAAAGACACTAAAGGAACTAAAACAGAATAAAACCGAATCCTGTTGTAAGGCTACATAAAATACACTGTATTAGAAAAAATTCTAAATTAAACTCAAAATTCTTCTCAAAAATAAGTCAGTAAATATACAAATAAAAATATCTTCTACTTCCAGTATTTTTTCATTTTTCCAAATACTTTAAACTTATTATTTGCTCTTTGTTAGTCCTTAATATTATGCCACTGGACAAAAAGCCCTTTAAAATAAAAAAAGGAACAAAGCTAGTACCATAGCGTTGTTTGGATCTGAATTCATTTTCATGGTATTTCAACTTCATCACTGAGCTAAAATTCCTTCCAAATTTTTGGGAACAGTGCTCTCTGTCACTATCTCTGCTATCCATAGGATAAGCATTGGCCATTCCACAAATTCCAGAACCATTTGCCATTTCACTGCTTTCCTCCCACACTCAAGTGGCAGTAGTTCAGTATGGCAGTGTGTCAAAAAGAAACAGAGTAAATCACTTGGTGATGTTTAACCAAATGTATACAGTGTACGCCATATATATTGCATGATAATATGATTTTGCACATTATAATAGAACATAATGAAGGATAAACTGCATAATTCTAGAATCCAAACAGACTTCTCTGAGACATTCTGATTAGAATAATTTACTTTTATTGAGCTAAAAAATGTGTACTTACTTTTTTAAAAAAATCAGATACTGTTTCCTGAAAATTATTGCAAGTTTTTGTTCCTTTCTAAGAATGACCAATGTCTTATACATTTATTACCAGGTGGTTTATGGAAACTATGTTGTCAAATAACATTTTCTGAGAGAAACAATACCAGAATAGGATTCATATTCCTTACCAAAAATTCAGCAGAGACCATGAGAGATAATTTATCATAAAAGCAAAGATAAAACCATTATAAAATTTTATAATATAAAATTATAAAATGACAACATAATGCTTTGATTTTTTTAGTTTATATAACAAACATTGATCAAGTATCTGATATGTGTCAAGGCATTGCTAATCAAATAAGACCTAGTACTTGCCACATTGAAGGAATTAAGAGTCTAGATTTACTGAACAAGTAAAGAAATGTTACAATAATGGCGTGGAAAGTCCTATGAAAGAGATTCTCAGAAGCTGGGGGGACGCAGAAGAGGGGCATCTAAATTAGCATATAGGGGTCAGTAAACATGTTCTGGAAAAGACGACCTGGTCTGAGCTTTGCTGCTTGAATAAAAATTGGCTGAATGAGAAGGGCAAGCCAGGTGAAAGGAACAGCTGGTAACAGAGGCACAAAGCAACATGGACATTTCAAAATACTGTAAGTTCTTGTTTGGAGGAAAGTTTAAGAGGCAGAGAGAATCAGGAAAAGAGAAGGGAGAGAATGGTAAAAGCCAAATCATGAAATGCTGTCGGAGCTAGGTTTAAAAGTTTTAATTTTATCCAGGAAAATAGTCCCTCTAATCCTTTAAAAGCTACTACAAAGGATGTTAAGCAGGGACGTAAAATGAGTGTATTTTCATTTTTAAAAGCTGTATTTGACTTTGGTATGGAGTAAGACTAATGCAGTACTCCTGAATTCAGGAGGCAGTATTAGTAATGGAAGAGAGGGAAAGATCTGAGAGACAAAGGAAGTAGAATTTGTTGAACTTACAGAAACTAATTGGAAGAGACGGGGGAATGAGAAGGAAGAGCCTAAACTGACCTGGTAACAGGTGGACGATGGTAACAGGGCAATGAAGGCAGGACAAAAGGGGGTCTGAGGCAGCAGGGAGTTGGGAGGAGTGAGGAATTTGTTTCAGATTATTTTAGGCAATACGTTTTCTATAGATTGTCAGAAGAATCCTTATTAAATATACAAATGATTATAAATCATATAACAAAAAAAAAATACTCCCCTGTGTTTGACCCAAAGTTTACTGTAGCAAGTATATTCATTTTAATTAATTAGCAAAGATTGCCTGATTTTATTAAAATTATTGTGGGGACAGAATATTTAAATACACCAAATCTCTTTTACAAAGCTGAACATGAATGCTTAAGTTTTCCTATCTTCTCAAAATAGTTATTTGCAGCAAACTGATACATAAAATCAATCTAATGACAAAAGAATATTGAGCAGTTCTTTAAAAATAGCCTGTAAATGACAGATTCATTACAAAACTATGACACTATCATAAGAAAGTGAAGACATCAAAAGGTGAAATATACACTTTTATTATGCAATATTAACACCAGCAACACAAGTTATGCATAGCTTAAGCATGGCATTTCTTAAGCTTAGGAAATCAAATCTCCAGAAAATCAAGGGAAAAAAAAGATGTATTTCTGAGGTGGTCAGATCTGAAATTCCTACCTCCCAACTGTGTATAAGGAACTTTATAATTTATTTATGTATGGGGTAATATGTCCTCAGCCTAATTAGTCATTTCTCATATTTTATGACAGAAAAGGACACACTCTTGTTTATCGTGGATAAACTACAGCATGGCGTGGGGAAGTTGCCTGGAGGGACTGAACAACCAGAGGGAAGAACCAAGAGAGGGACTCTCTGGGCTTGGAGCTGATAAACCGCCGCCTCCCACGCCCAGCTCTTCGGAGCTCTGTAAAGGACAAGCTCAAGTCAAAAAAACAAAACACTCACAAATGTAATCTAGTAACTAATACCCTAAGGATGTGCAGTTGCTCCAATCAAGACTAGAGTACTCACTTTCTCTGCGAACCTCCTCAAGTGCAGCGGTCAGCTCTTCCTTTAACACGGTGGCTTCCTGGGTGATCTTCTCTCCCTTGTCTAATAAATTCCAAGTTGCTTCCGCCACGGAATCTAGAAGAACTCTGGCTCTTTTTGATCGTCCTTTTTTTCTGTTGGAAGGATTCTCGGGACAATTTACAAGTGTAGTAACCTAAAATCGGAGAAACACAGTCACTCATTAAACAAACCGTGAGAACACAGTTGTGGAGTACCATAGCCCAGAACAAAATGAAGTATTTCATAGTGACGTGATTCAATCCTATTATTACTGGTACATCCCCAAAAGCCAAGTAAGGGCACCTAGAGCAGTATTATCGACCACCATGGGGTTCCCAACTAAAGAAAGGGAGGGAAGAAGGGTGGGGAGGACACAGAGATTAAATCTCATCAAGTTTTATTATTGGGATAAAGCAATATACATACAGTTGACCCTTGAACGATGTGGTTTGAACTGCATGGGCCCACTTACACACTGGACCCACTGGAAAATTTGATTTGTGACAATTTGAAAGCCATTTTCACTTCTCTAGCTTACTTTATTATAAGAATACAGTATATAATACATATAAATTCAAAATATGTGTTCATTGACTGTTTATGTCATCAGTAAGGCTTCCAGTCAACAGTAGGCTATTAGTTAAGTTTTGGGGAGTCAAAAGTTACATGTGTATTTTCAGCTAGTGCCCCAAACCTCCATGCTGTTCAGGGTCAGCTGTACATATATATATACATACATAATAATTATTTACATCATTTTGTAGCCAGCAATCTATATTAAAAGGGAAGAAAAAATAAATAATTACTATTAAGTCAGTATTAGTCTATTCAGGTTGAGAATAGACATTATTAATGTGGAGAAGTGGGGGCATCCACCCTGAGACAAATGGTGGTTACCTCAGCAGGACAAAAAACAAATCCTTCCTATGACCTGTATTCGGCCCACTGTAACCTTTCTCACCTTCTCCCACACTCTCCCCTAACTAGCTGGCCTCCTAAACAAGTCCTGCTCAAAGTCCCCCATCAAGAGGCCTTTTTTTTTAGGCCTGCTGATGCATGTGATGGGCTTTTGGTTGTTGTCATTCCTGTTTCTAATTTAGGCCCATACAATAAAATGCACAAATCTTAGTGAATTAGCTTAATGAATTTTGACATGTGTATACATTCAAGTAATCATAGCCCTGATCAAGATACCAAATTTTCTCACTGTTTTATCCCTTCGCCAGTCCCTCCCAATCCCCCAACCTTCCCCCCTTCCCTTCTGGCAATAACCATGAGTCTATTCTCCGTGTTTATGAGTCTTTCTCAGTTTTGTTCATTTGTTTTATTTTTTAGATGCCACATATAAGTGAAATCATATGGTACTTGTCCTTCACTGTCCAACTTGTTTCATTTAGCATAATACCCTCTTATGTTCCATGGCAAGATTACATAATTTTTCATGGCTGAATAATATTCCATAGTGTATATGTACCACATCTTTTCTATCCATCCACCTGTAGATGGACTTTTTAGATTGCCCATATTTTGGCTACTGCAAAGGCCTTTCTTGACCACTCCCATCTCCACCTCACCCCATTTTATATTTCCTCAAACCACTTACAGAGCCTAAGTTGTTTTTTTATGTTTATTACATGTTTCCAATATTAAAATATAATCTCCATGAAAGCAGGAAATGTGTTTTTTCTCCAGCACTGAGAACAATGCAGAGTACGTGTTCAATAAACATGCACTACATATACGGCTTAATGAACAGGATAGTTGAAAAGAGGGACTTTTAATGTGCAATCTTGAATTACCTGAATAAGTTAATAATGAGCATGTATTACTTTTAAAATAAGAATAAATTCATGATAAGATCCTTATTTGGAGATGGAAATTAAGCATCCATATTTGGAAACAAAACCTCATATAAAATTATCTTGTAAAAAATACCCATTTCTTCATTAAACCTTGGATCTCAATAACAGAATTTGGTTACCATTTTCATACGCAAAGCTGGAAAATATATAGACAAAAACATTTTTTGTCTGCCTTTCTATTCCTCTCCATCATCTGTCCCATCTAATAGACCCTCTGCTTTATCCTAGTTTGCTTTATTCTCATGTTCACAACCCAGAATTCAGTGCCTTTAGCAAGCCTTTGTTTCTTTTCTTGGAAAATAAGAACAATCATATCATCCCATAAGACTGTGTGAAAGTTAAATATGTAAAATGTTTCTTAAAACACTTAACATGACACAAATATTGGTTGATATGTAATGTGTATTTTCTAGCCCCATCCCCACATGGACCAGAAAATCTGCTATGGGATCCTTGTCAATGGCATTCCCTCTGGATCTATACTTATCTTGCTTGAGGGGTCCCCGGTGCTAAATGTGATGAAATCAGTAAACAAAGCACACTCTATATGCTTTATAAGTAGCCAAATAGGGTCACATGTGTCTATCATGCATTATAAAAGATGATAGTATGCTTCATTTATTACATGTGTTTTCACATACTCCAAAAGGCAAATATCTAACTATTGTCACTCTGATTTATATATCAAGAGTTAAAAGAGATTTGTCTGATTAAGACAAGTTATAGCACCTAGTTTAAAACCTTTGTTTAAAATGAATAAGTATCATTGTATAAAACATTCCTTCAGAATGTATTTTAAGTGCCACAATTCATGACGCTTCCCACTGAACATTCCTCTATTATTGTTCAGATCCTCCATGCACCAAATGTTTTCCATAGAATAGCCTAAGCTTTGAAATTAAAATGAGCATTCCAGAAATGCTTTGTTCCTTACAATAAATGCCAGAGAAATATGAAAAGGACACTGTGTAAGAACATTGTGCTTCCACCAAAAAAAATGCAATTTGCAAATTATTCACTTTTATACTCATTTACGCTTATGTCTTCTTTCAAAATACCACATAGTTATTTAATCTTGATTAAACTGAAGTCAAGTAACACTTTCACTGATTCATTTCATTTCAGAAGGTAAATATGGCTTGGTAGTACTGTGAGAAAAAAGAAAGCTAAACCTTTTTTTCCTACCCCAACTCACCTACCGGATCTAAATGACTCCTATCAGTGACTGTAACTCACAATAGCAGATGAGTCTCACCAAGGGTCGGGAGTGCATGTGTTCTTTGAAAAAGTCTCCCATTTCTTGAAGGAGTACCATCAACTAGTAAAAGCTAGCTTTCAAGTTATTCTGTAAAGTCATTCATGTTCCCTGATTTTCTTTTCAGTACAAAATCAGTAAAATTTTTAAAAGGAACACAAAAACTTTAGTTGAAATTTACAGCAATGATGATTCTAATGTAAGATCTAAGCCCATATCTTGCTAACCTTTTTGTCACTGATGAGTAACCCTTTCCTTCTTCCTTAGACCTTCAGGGATCCCTCTCATATGGAAAACCTTTGAGTCTAGGCTCTTAAAAGGCTAGGGTTCATTAAATCTTCTTTAGTCTATAAATCTGTGCTAGGCTACAGTCAGTCCTACATCATAAATACAGGAACGGGCTCCCCATTGACATGGTCCTAAATTAGATACTTCAAGTAATATGAAAAGAACTCCTCTACTTTATTCATTTCAAATATTCAAAATTCCATAAAATCAGGTATACTTTTAATGGTATATAATATTTATATATTAAAATTTAGAGTACTAAAAGGGGTTTCCTAATCTTTCTTAATTTCAGCGTGCTTCTCTAGATGCTCCAGAGATACTAAAAATTAAATTGACATGCAACTGTCAGTATCCTATACAGCAAAGCTAATGCACAATGGGAGCACTGCTGAGTATTGCTGTGAGGCTGTGATCATTCCAGTGCAACAATTGCTTTAGTACCTCAGACACTAGCTTTGTAAAGTCTTCTCTAAAGCCAACTTGGGTAACACAGTTATAATCTATAATCATGTTCTTCTCCAACATAACTCTAATTTCTTTTAACTATCATTGTAGTATAAAAAGAGCATGTTAACAGCCATCTCTTTTCTTGTTTATTAGCTAAAACACTTTCAATTTTAACCTCCCTCAAGCATCTCACAGAGGTGTTCAGGGCAACTTTTGCTTCCTTGAGTTAATTTTAATGTGTGGAATAAAATGTAAGTCATGCTAATTAGCTAAGAACTTCAGAGTGCTGAAATTAAAAGGGTAGAAAGATTATATTTGTCTATAGTTAAGTAAAACCAATGATCTTTTAAAGTAAAAGGTATCATTTAGTGTTGAGGAGAGTCGGTGGTCCCTTCAAGTCGTTGAGAATTTCAACTGTTCCTTATTTCCTACCAAAAACAACCTTTACTGTATTTACAAAAGTACTGGGGAAGGTTACAGAGTTGGAAACTCAGAAAACGCATACCCCCTCAATTAACATTCAACACTCCCTCCAAAGCCAACTACAGTCTTCTTTATTTCATCTTAAGCCAATAAACATTTATTGAGCACATATTATGTTCAAAACAATACCCTAGACATTTAGAAGATGAAGATGAGTAAGCCCCTGTGTGAGACACACAATTAGCTGCAATATAAGGGGCAGCATGGTAACAACTTACACAGACAAAGCACTGAAGGGACTGCAAACATTCCCAAGGATTAGCTAGGGATTCTGCCTGCCCTTTAAAGGCAGACAGTTTTCTGCAAAGAGAATACAGGGGAAGGTGAGCCAGGTGAAGGAACCATGTACAAAGGAGCAGAAATGGAAATTATTTTTTCTGAGAGTAGTAGTCAGTCAAGTTTGGTAGACTGTGGGGTAAAAAACTGACAATTGGGTGAGAAATAAGGCTAGGAGATAGACTGTAGTTTAAACATGATGTGTCAAAAACCAAGGAAAGAGTTACTATTTAGTACAATAGGCAACAGCCACTTCAAACACAGCATGCCCGAAGTGGAAACCCCGTCAACCTGCCTCTCCTCCATCTGCACTGGTCACCTCGGGGACTGACGCCTTTAACCTGAGGCCAGAACCCAGAGGTTATCTGGGCTACTCCTTTTCTCTCACCTACTTCTCCAGGTCATTTATATTGTCTCTTTTAAAGCTTTGGTTTCTGTCACCTCCCATCTATGCCCCAGCCATGCTTCTCATATTTGCTCTCTGGAGTATTGCCCAACCTGCCTTCTCTCCTAGCCATCCTCCATGACACAGAAACAGGGCCT